CTGCCGCCACACCGGCCACGCAGAGCCGTGCGTGGCGGGGCTGCAGGCACCAGCACCTGCACGGGGTCAGGTGGGGACACTGGGGGTTCCCAGGCCAGAGCCCCCCACGGGATTGTGCTCGAAGGGGCCGGGCTGACTGGGCGGCGTGCAGTGCCGAGCCTGGGAAAGGTGCCGTGCCGGGGCTGGCGGCTCCCAGGGGCCGGCGTGTCCCGCGGAGCAGAGGCAGCTGTGGATGGGGTGGCTGGGGGCTCCCCTCAAGGGCTGAAGAACAGGAGCTGCCCCATCTCCCTGGGTCCTGGAGCCAGCACGGGGCAGGGAAAGCGTGTTGGGGGTCCTGCTGGAGCCTGCCCCGGGCAGGGGGCTCCATTGGGAGCCCACAGCACCTCTCAGCCTGCAGCTCACCGAGGTGAGCCTGTCCCGGGCTCCCTCCCCCGGGTTTGATTTATGGAGCTGACAGCGCAGTGCAGCTGTGAGAGCTGGTCCCAGGCAGGGACCGGGGTGGGTGGGAGAGGTTTGTTCTCAGCGTGGCTAATGTGTCCCAGACCCCAATAAACAGCCGTGAGATTCTCCAAACAGCCCAGGACACAGAATCCCTGCCCCTGGGTTTATCGGGGGGCAGGAGCAGCAGGGGGGGTGTGCTCTGCAAACAGCCCGACCTGCACATGAAAGGGGACCGTCCTCATGAAGCGGTGGCTCCAGAGCCTCCCGAGGGGCCAGCAAGGGCTGGTGGTCCCAGTGCTGGGGGCACAGCAGGTCCCAGCACTGAGTGCACTGGTCCCAGTGTGTCCCAACCGCTGGGTTGTGTTTCCCAGGGCTGAGCACCAGTGTTCCAGTGCCAGCAACTAGAGCCCCAGCAAGCTCCAGTATGAAGACCATGAGTCTCAGTGAGTCCCAGCACAGGAGCTGTGCATCCAGTATGTCCCAGTGCCAGGGACTGGGGCCCTAGCAAGCCTCAGTATAAAGGCCATGCAATCCAGTATGTCCCAGTGCTGAGACTGTGGAATTCAGCATGTCCCAGTATGGTGGATATGGATCCCAGTACACCCAGTGCCAGGGATTAGGGTCCCAGCAAGTTCCAGTCTGATAGCCCTGGGTCCCAGTATGTCCGAGCATGGGAGTTACGCACCCAGTAACTCCCAGTGCTGGGGCTGTGGATTCCAGCACGTCCCAGTGCTGGGGCTACAGATCCCAGCATGTCTCAGCACTGAGGCCACAGGTCCCAGTGTGCCCCAGTGCCAAACCCCCAGGTCCCAGTGCATTCCAGCCCCTCCCAGCACCACAAGAGGGAAACGGTGACTCAGAGGCGCTGGAGCCTGCTGGGCTGGTGGGAGCCGGGCGCCCCTTTGCCCCGTGGGGGGTGAGCACTCTGGCCACGGCCACCGATCGCCCGCGGCCACCGCAGCCCCACGCCGAGCCCAACCACGCTGCCTCTCGCTCCCCTCCCATCCTCTCCCCTTCCTGCGTGCGGACACCCTTGGAAAGGCTCTTGGCCGCTTTCTCTGAGACAGGAAGGTGTCCCCGAGTCTCAGGAAGGAAAAACACTCAGTGCTGAACCCACAAAGACCGTCTCTGAGGGGCCGGGGCTGGAGAGGCTCCAGGCCTGACATCACCTGGGAACTGGAACCAGAACCGCAGCTGCACTCCGCGCCTGGTATTTTTTTCTTTAACTTGTGTTTTTAAACTTTCTTTTTATAGACTTTTATTTTATTATTTTTTTTTCTCCTTTCCCTTCTCCATTCCCCTCCCAAATATTTCAGGCTCTCCGCAGGCTGGCCAGCCAGGCTGGAATGCAGCAGGGCTGCACCCGTGGGTGCCGAGAGCTGTTGAGCTGATGGGATGGATGAGGCCCTGTCTGGCCAGGCAGGAGCTGCTGGAGTCACGGGCAGGGGTCAGGCTGGGGCTCACCCCCCAGTGATGGGGGGCCAGGACCTGATAGCCCCCGGCACCAGTGCTGGTGGAAAGGGATCTGAGGCCACACAGGGACCCGGGCCACACCATGGGGTGTGGGAGGATGGAGGGTAGAGGGGTCGGGCAGAGCCTGCAGTCAGTGGGCAGTGCTGCTCTCCTCACCCACCACCCCCAGAATGCTGCAGTGGGGTTAAGTCATGTCCGAGCCTGAGCCTGAGCCAGCTGAAGAAGTGGAGCCAGCCAGGGACAGGGGACACAAAAGCAGATTCCGGCACCAGGATCCAGCCCTCCTCAGGCCGTGTCCTTCGGCAACACCTTTGGGTTGCCTGGCCCTCACTGGGCTCCCCCCCAGAGCACAAGCTCAGGATAAAGACCCTAATGTGTCCTGCAGTAAAGCTCAGCCACTTGCTGCCAGGGGAATCCTCCCTGTGGCGCTGACCACAGAGATCGACCGGTTGCCACAGATCACCCCCCATGTCGGACCAGGGGCCAAAGGACTGGGAAGGGACCCCCAAGGTCTAGATGGCAATGGGTAGGGAGAGGGGAACAGGGGGACAAGGCTCTGCTGACCAGGGCAGGGTGGAGAGAAGGACTGGGGAGGAATGGGCACTCAGAGGTGGGATGGGAGGGAGAAGATGGGACAGGATGGGATGGGATGGGATGGGATGGGACGGGACGGGATGGGATGGGATGGGATGGGATGGGCAGATCAGACCAGAGTTCACTGTGATGACCACCAGGCTGGGGTGCTGGGCAGTCCCCGCCTCCCCATGCTGGCAGACCCAGACTGTAGTAACCCTGCCAGCACCCTGCCGAGGTCCCTGGGGAAGAAACTGGGCAAAGGGTCTGCCTGAGACCCCCAAGACACCTGCCAGATCCTCACCATCCCAAGGGATGCACAGCCGAGATCCTGCACATGCCAGGGGTGCAGGGGACGCTGCTGCAGGGCCGCCACCACCCTGCCACATCCTCCCCCGTGCACTGGACCCCTCAGAGCCTCTCGCCCCGCCGGGACCTCGTGCCGGCCGCAGTCCCTGGGGACACTGGCCCCGCAGCAGGGACAGGGTGTGAGGCCGTGGCGCGGGGTGAACGCCAGGTTAATCTCCCGCTGGAGCTTCCCTCCGCAAACAATAAGACAATGCCCGGCCGGGGCCGCCTGCGTAACCAGCGGCGCGGAGGGGAAGTTGTAATATTTGGATTTAGCACTCAGTAAATTAAGGAAGAAAAAAGGAAAAAGCACTGGGGGTAATCAGAGCGGGGCTGGCCCCGTGCCCTGCCCCACGGCCAGCAGCCCCGGGGGGCTGAGCCCAGCCTGGGGACAGCAGATGAGCAGGCCCAGCAGCCCCGGGAGTCAGAGAGGCTGGGCACAGCTGGGAGAGGGACACATCCCTGAGGGCCAGGCAGAGGACAGGCATGTCCCTACCCTGGGGACACCAGCCAGAAGGGTCACGGCTTGGGTGCCCAGCAGAGCTGCAGGCAAACATCTCCTGCCACACCAGAAAAGGGATCTGGGCCAGGAGGTTATTTTAATCCAGATCTCTTCATGGGAAATAAAATCCTATTTCTGCAGCTGTGGTGGCTGAGCAGGAGAGGGCCCAGGGCGGGGGGGGGGAGTCACCTCCAGCTGGCAGTGGCTGGCAGGGGGTGACAAGGGAGGGGGCTGTCCCCTGGATGGATGTCTTCCCCAGCACAAGCCCTGCAGGGGTGCTACCTCCCCAGGGCCTCACACCAGGGCCCACACTCCACCAGACAGGCACCATCGGTGCAGATGGGGCTCTCAGTGGGGATGGGGAAAGGGTTGCACTGCAGAGGACCCCTGTGGGTGCCTGGAGCAGGGACAGCACTGCAGGGCTGGGCTTAACCCCTCTGAAATGTGGTGGGGATCCTGGCTGCCCTCCCACCCTCTAGCAGCAGGGTGAGCTCACAGAGGTGAGCAGGGCAGGGACACCCCAGGGGGCCAGTTTAGGGTTGTAGGGCTGGACCCCACCCTGTGGGGTCTGAAATGGGGTCTTAGGAGGGCTGTGTGCCCTGGGCAGAGGCGTCCCCCATGTAGGGACCCCATGGTGGGTGCGGTGCGGGGCTGGCAGGAGGGCTGGGACAGGTGGGGGAGAGGTGACCGCTGGCAGCAGTGGCACGGGAAGGCCTCCGGGCCGCGCGCCGGGAGCACATTTCCCCACAACAGGGGCCGTTATCAGCGGCAAATATTCGGAGCGGTCCCAGGGGGGGCCTCCAGCCCTTCCCCTCCACCTACCCCACCGCTCTCCCGCTCCGGCCCCACGTCAATGCCGCTGCAAAGGTGTCGGAACAATCGCCTGACAAAGAGCTATTTTTAGGGGCCGGGGCTTGGAGCGAGGATACGGCCCGGCCGCTGACAATGGGGGGAAGGGGGCCGGGCTTCCCCCGTGACCACTCGGCAGCAGAAGGACCTGTAAGATTTCCTCGATGACCCAGGCCCGTACAATACAAGGAAAGCGCGAGAGGGAGATACCCCCGCCAGGACGAGCTGCTCCTTTACCTAATGGGAGTGACCCGGGGTGAGGGGCTGCCAGGTTTGGGCCAGCGGCGTCCCATGGGAGAGACACCCACACCGGGGGGGAAGTGGGGTGAAGCCTGGCCGTGCTTCCATATGAAAGGGTACAGGGGTGCCTGGGGTCAGCTCTGAGCCAGAGCCTTGATGTGGTGGGATAGCAGTGACCAGCCCAGGGCTGTGTGTCCCCAGCCAGCCCCATTCTGAGGGTGCCATGAGCCAGGGAGGCTCAGAGGAAGCAGCTGAGGGGTCAGGCTGAGCCCTGATGTGCTTCCTCCCCCAACGGGGTCCCCCCTGGCTCAGCCTGCGCCAGAGAGGTTGGTGGGCCATCTGCTGTGGCCAATCCTTGAGGGAAAAAACTAATGTCCTGGGCTGCATGGCAGGAAATTGGGGCTAAAAAGGTGAAAGGCAGGGATGGAAGGTCATGGGGTGGCTGGAAGAGGTCAGGGCTCAGCCTGGCTGGTGGCAAAGTGGACATTGCAGAGGGACGAGCCCCTTCCATCAACTGCAGCACGGCTCCTGCACACCGGGGCCCGATCCCACCGCTCTGCAGCGACCCTGAGGGCCAGGGGGGCGAGGAAAGGGCCAGTGGCAAGGCCGTGGAAGGGCCGTGGAAGGTCCACGGAAGATCCACGGAAGGGCCGTTAAAGGGCCATGGTAGGCCCGATCCTGGGGCCGCTCCGCAGGCCGCAGTCGCCCCCTGGCGGCGGCCCCCCGCTCGCAGCCCCGGCGCGAGGGCCCGGGTCGGGCCGCCAACCGCAGGCTGGGCCCCCGCCGGTACCGCGGGAGGCCGACCACATTCCGCAACGGCCTCCCCGCCGCCCCCACGGGGACACCCTACCAGGACACGGAAGCCGGGACACCCCCCACCACACTCGCGGGACTACAACTCCATCAACACCCCGCGGCGCGCTCCTCCTCCTCCATTCCTCCCGCCCCCTCACTCTTGCGCACGCCCCCGCGGCGCGTGGCGGGCCGCGCTGGGGTTCCGTTTTCGGCGCGGCCTCGCCTCTGCGTCCTGCGGCGCGGCCCGAGCCTTGTGCCTCCGCCATATGTCTGTGTGCGGCGGCGGCGGTCGGCGGCGGGGCGGCGGCCGCGCCAGGGCTACCGGCGACTTCCCGCGCCCGTGTGGGCCCCGCGGCGGCGGCGGGGTGGAGGGGGCGGCGGGCGGGAGAGGCGCCTCCGCGCCTTCCTGGCTTCCCCTCCCCGCCCCCCCATCTCCGCCACGTGCGCTGGTGTGGGGCCGGAGGGCCGCGGCCGCCCCTCGCAGAGCGGGGGCCGCGACGGCGCTGAGGGGCGAGCGCGGGCGAGCGGGCGGGACCGCGCGGCGTGATGGGCAGGGCCGCCGGCGTCCGTGCCCGCGAGAGGGGCTTCGAGCCCACGGGGAGCGGGCAGGGGCCGCGGAGGGGCCGCCCCCGCTGGCCCCCGGCCCGGGCGGGGCCGGCCCCCGGCCGCGCAGGGAAGGGGGCAGGGCCTTCGCGGGGACCGGGTTCCATCCCCTCCCCCAGGCGCTTCCCGGCTCGCTCGTTCGGCCGTGTAGGTGTTATTTACCTAAATTGCCCGATCTCGCCTCTCCCTCGCCCTGCCCGGAGAAGCGGGGGGATGCGGAGGGGCAGGGAGAGGCCTGTTGGTGCTCACCGCCACCCCCGGCTGCGCAGGGACTCCGATCTGGGCCTTTCTGGGCGGAGGGGAAGGTCGTTCTCACGGCTTTCCACGCCGGTGTCTCCTCTGGAAGCGGCGGTGGTCAGTCTGGTCCCAGCTGTAATTTGGTTCATTGTGCCTTGGGGGCAGCGAGCTGTGTGTGGCTGTTGGTAAAATGCGCTTTGTAAGTGAGGTCAGATAAGATTATGGAACCCCGTGTATGTCAGATCACTTTATTCTTTCTTAGTCAGGGCTTTGGGTGAAACCAATAAAGTTTGGATTATGAACACTCAGGGGAAGAGGAGAGGCAGGCACTGATCTCTGCTCTCTGTGACCAGTGGCAGGACCCCGGGGACGGCTGGAGCTGTGTGAGGGGAGGGTTAGGGTGGATATCAGGGAAAGGTTCTTCCCCCAGAGGGTGGTTGGGCACTGAACAGGCTCCCCAGGGCAGTGGGCACAGCACCAAGGCTGCCAGAGCTCAAGGAGCATTTGGACAAAGCTCTCAGGGACAGGGTGGGATTGTTGGGATGTCCTGTGCAGGGCCAGGAGTTGGACTCAATTCCGATGGGTCCCTTCCAACCCTGATACCCCCGAGAGGGGTCTGTGATGATTTGGGGTTTGTGCTGCTTAAACCTGACCCTGGGCCGGGGCCTTGGGGAGCTGCTCCCTCAGTGCCAGGCTGATGTGTCTGGAGGGGGCTGTGCCCTGTGCTCCACATCTACCCACCTGGTTCCTCAGGGAAGCTCCATGTGCTCCACAGATGGCTTGGGAAGAGCCCCCAGAAGGAGTCAGAGGTGTCTGGGCACAGCGGGAATCAAGTGGAGACCCAGCAGTTCTGCTTGGGGCCGGGAGTGATTTATTGGTTCTTGGAAAGCACTTTCTTTTCAGAAACAGAATTGCTCAGTTTGGTGCTCTGTCCTGCCAACAGACCGGGGTGTTGGGTGTGAGTCCTGGTGTGGATTCCAGGTGCAGCATCAGCAGGGGCAGAGGAGTTGCTCATCCCTGTGTCGTTCCTGCTGTTGTGATGTAGAAAAGGGTGAAGGTTGTGCTGGGAGAGGGGAGGCTCAGCTTGGGAAGACTCGAGGTAGGATTTGGGGGAAAGTGTAAAGCTTGATCGGTTCCTTGGTTAGTCCTAAAAACTAGGATTAGTTTCTGAATGTTCTGATTCCTACAGCACAGGGCCATGCTTGGGTAAAACATACCAAGAGTGGTCCATCCTCTGTGGAGGGCACTGGAAAGTGAAAATTGGAATGGGAATGTCCAGTCCCATGCACAGGGCAGGCAGCACTCTGCCCTCAGGAGACCCACCCATGCCTTGCAGCTGGAATCCCAGTTCCTTTGGTGCCTCCAGGCAGGGAGGGGCTTTTTGTAAAGGTCCAGATCTTTCCCTGAGCATGAAGAACGTAGGTCTTTGGTGTTAGGCAGTGATCTTTCCCTTTCATCTTGGCAATGGGGAGAAATTTCCTTTATTTCACCTTTCTCTGGTGATTTATGGCAATACCTGGTAATATAATTTCTGTTGTTAGTGTGCATGTCCTGCACTCAGACCAGGGAATTTGGCCACTCACCTGCTGCCCTTGAGGAGCTGAAACAGGGTGGAGGAAGGGAACATCATGGGTTCATGGGTTGAAGGAAAATGAGGCTTGCTGGATGTTGGGAACATGGCTCTTTGCAAGAGGGATAGTAAAACTGGCGGTGAGTTCTAGCAAATGTGGAGGAAATTGGATCATGGAATGTTTTATGACATAGGGTTTGTGCAGGGACAGTTAATTGTTTGCTTGAAAAAAAGCTCGTGGGATGTGAAAATGCAGATGCAAAGCTGGGAGTGGGGATTGCTGGGGAAACACTTGGTAAAACACCATTTCCTGAGGGTGAGACACAGAAAGACTTGAGTGATTGATATTTGAGGCAGGTTGGGTGCATCGGTGTGGAATGGGTTGGAAGTGGAATACAGGATGCTGAAAGGTGGTTATAGATTTGTGGAGTTACAGAGAAAGAAACTATAAAAGGGACAGGGCCCCAACTTTTCCCAGTTTTATTAAATGGTGGGTGTCCTCGCAGCTTCCACTTCAATTCTTCTCCATTTTCTCCTTACAGAACTAATTTTCTCTTTTTGTCTTTCCTCGTGTCCTCTGAGGAATAAGGGAAAGGGAGGCAGGAGAAGGAAATGGGTGACATTGTGGTGGTGTGATTAATTTCATGTCACATTTCTGAAGAGGCAGGGATTTATTTCTGGGTTACCAGACCTGTCACCTCCACTGTTCCTCCATTATGGAATTGCTTACATTAAGGTATCTGTTTTAGAAACTCCCTGGATGAGATTGATGCCATCTTAGATCTTATTGTCCCTTAAAGGTCTTGAGAGGGAAAAAAAAACTCCCAAATTTTAAAATCAAGAAGGACTGCTGTGACTCAGTCTGGCTGCAAACATTGATTGCAAGACAGATCTTGGATAATTTTTCTGAGCTTGGATATCTCCTTCCAGGGGCTTCCAAGAGCTGACTTCCCTGGAATTTACAGAATGTAATTGGAGAAAAGGAGTTCTCCTTTGGACCTAGAAAAACTGCTTGGAAGAGGAGGCTGCAGCTTTCTCAGCTGGTGTCAGTGCTGGGTCTGAAGGCAGAGTGATTTCCAACCTGGTTTTTGAAACCTTTTGCCATCAAGGTGCCAAACTAACAAGTCCATAGGAAAGGTTGATGAGAAATGGGATTGTTGATGTGGTCATGGGATCAGTGGTTCATGGATATCTTCTGTTGGTCAGGTGTCAGCAGCAGAGGAGGAGCAATATGAGCGTGACATGAGTTTTACCTGCTCCTGTGTTCACACTGCTCTGGGCAGTTTTATTCAGGCAAATGATTTTATTACCCATTTCATGCTGCTGCTTTGGGAAGGTGAAAAGCAGAAAGGGGGCTTGGAGTTCTTTGTGGACTTGGTACCACCACAGACTCACATTTGGAAAGTTACAATTTCAATAATTCTATTTTTGCACAGTTCATTTCTGAGAGTTACGTCCTTTTTACCGAGTTCTAATTTTTAAGGAATGTTACCCTATGCAGAGGCAATTTCTAAAGCAGGCTGTCCAGCTGCTGTCCACGTAATGGCTGGCTCATATTATGGCAATTTATTAAACATGAATGGTGAATAAAATGTGTACTAGATGAAAGCAGAAAATAATTTTGAGTCAAGGCAGAACTTGGCTGCAGGTTTCCCACTGGATAGTCATGTCTCTGAGTGTTAACAGCAGTCCTAGAAAATTGGAAGTTATTCACTCCATTTTTGCAGAGAAGGAGGCTCTGCCCTTGCACCTTCTAGAACAACCAAAGGCTAAATTAGTCCTCTTTTAATTAAGCCAAGTGTGGGGAGAGTCCAGTGTGCTGTGCAGTGCTAACACAGAATTAACGTGCCAGAACTTGCTTTCCCTGGGTCGGAAAGGTCTTGCTGTGGTGGGGAAAAGTGCCCCCAGTTCCTCCTGCTTGTCCAGGGAGGCAAAATGGAGCCTCTCCCTGTTGTTGCCAAAGCCTTAGGAGAAGGCATTTTCTCAGAGCATCTTTGCACACGTGTGTGTGAGTTGTCAGAAAATCTTTATTTTTAGTGTTCTGAAAATGGATGAGCGTGGACGCGCACAACAGATTAATTTCCAGTGTAGGAAAGCAAGAGCTCCTGCAATGTTCCTCCTCTCCCAGGCTTTGTCACAGGTTTCTGTGCCTGTTACCAGTGTGCTGTTGAATTCCAGCCTTTCTTCCACACTTTTATTGTACTCCAGAAGGAAAAAGGGGGGCTTTTTGCTCACTGTGCAGCATCCAGGTTCATTTCAGCTGAGTTTAAAAATTAAATTACAGGTTTTGGCACAGTGGCTTTGCTGGGGGGTTGGTTGCAGGGTGTGAAGGAGGATGCTGAGGGGTTGTTTGACATGGCAGTGGTGGGTACAGCATTTGTGTCCCCAAGGGCTACACTGGTGAGAGTGCTGAGGTCACCAGGCTTCAGTTCATCTCCAAAACACTGGGGTGAAATATTAAAATCTTGGTTGGTACATTCACATCACCTGCAGTGTCAGGAGCCAGCACTGGGGTTTATACAGTTCTAACTGTATATAAAACTATATATATATATCAGTTTATAAGCCCAGCACTGGGTACCCAGGGCATAATAGCTATTACACTGATTGCTGGAGTTTAATAGCTGTTTTTTCCTGTTTGATTTTTGGGGTGGTTGTAGCTGGGTTCATCTTGTGTTAATAATGATGAATTTTTAGAGGATTATGTCAGAACTTTACTTTCTGGCAGGGGCTTGCACCGGGTGGTTCTTGCTGAGCCTGCTGGATGCCAGCTGAGCAGTGGAGATGGTTTGTGGTGCATTGCCTGCTCCATGGAACAGCTGATCACAGGGATTTCCTGAAGAAATAGTTACATGCAGTGTAACTGGTTTATCCTTTGGCTCTGGTAACTGTTCCTGCCTCTGGGA